CAACCAAAGGACTTGTATGCATGCATATAAGCATAACCAATGGACATAAGACACTGGGGAATAGGGGAGGCTAGGGGACTGTCTAGGGCGGGGGAAAAAATGGACACATATGTAATACCCTTTGTAATAAAAAATAAAATTTAAAAAAAATAAAAAAAAAATAAAAAAGAGAGAAAGGAGAGAAGAGAGAGGGAGGGAGAAGTCAGAAGAGAGACATTTCAAGTGCTCAATAATGTAGCTAGTGGCTACTATAATTATGATAGTTAACTTAATTGTCAGCATATTGTCTAAGCGGTGTTATTTATTTATTTTAGGCTAGTCAAAACGGTGTTCTTAAGTAAGGGTTTTTATTTGTATCATCCTCACCTGAGGATATGATTTATTGATTTTGAGAGAGAGAGAGAACCCACATCGATGTGAGAGAAACATCAATTGGTTTTCTCCTTCCTATATACATCCTGACCAGGGATTGAACCCACAACCTAGGTATGTGCCCTGACCAGGAATCGAATCTTTTAGTGTACAGGTCGATGCTCCAGCCAACCAAGCCACCTGGCCAGGGCTTACGTAAAGGTTTTAAAGGAATGATTTAGTCCTTATAATAAGGTAGTGAGAACAGGCTCTTTTTTGACTGCAAATAAAAGAAAACCCAACTTCAGCTACCTTAAACAATCAGAAAATTGTAATTATTTGGAAATCCAGAGGTAGGGGCTTCAGGGGTGGGTTTATCCAGAGCTCTAGATCCAGATCTTTGCTAACTTCTGTCAGCTAGCTTTATCTCAGGCTACTAGCAAGATGGCCACACCATTCTGAGCCTCAGTTTTCTCATGGAATTGGATCAACGACATATTCTTGAGTCAAACCCTTTGAAATTCTAAGTGGTTCTTGTTTGTTCTTTTTTTTTAAATTTTAATATATTTTTTATTGATTAAGATATTACATATGTGTCCTTGTCCCCACGTTACCCTCTACCCCCCCCGCCCCCACGTTGTCCGTGTCCATTGGTTAGGCCTATATGCCTGCATATAAGTCTTTTGGTTGATCTTTCCCCCTTACCGCCACCCTCCCTTACCCTCCCTCCAAAGCCCGACAGTCCAATCAATGCCTCTCCGTCTCTGGATCAGTCCTT